GTGTGTGTGTGTGTGGTGTGTGTGTGTGTGGGTGTGTGTGTGTGTGGTGTGTGTGTGTGGTGTGTGTGTTGGTGTTTGTGTGTGTCGGTGTGTGTGTGTGTGGTGTGTGTGTGTGGTGTGTGTGGTGTGTTTTGTGTGTTGTGTGTGGTGTGTGGTGTGTGTGTGTGTGTGTGTGTGTGGTGTGGTGTGTGTGTGGTGATGGTGGTGTGTTGTGGTGTGTGGTGGTGGTGTTGTGTGTGTGGTGTGTGTGTGTTGTGTGTGTGGGTTGTGGTGTTGTGGTGTGTGTGTGGTTTGGTGTGTGGTGTGTGTGGTGGTGTGTGTGGTGTGTGTGGTGTGTGTGTGTTGTGTTGTGTGGTTGTGTGGTGTGTGTGTGTGTGTGTGTGTGTGTGTGTGTGGTGTGTGTGTGTGTGTGTGTGTGTGTGTGGTGTGTGGTTGTGTGTGTGTGGTGTTGTGGGTGTTTGTGTGTGTGTGTGGTGTGTGTGTGTGTGTATGGGTGTGTGTGTATGTGTGTGTTGTGGTATGGTGTGTGTGTGTGTTGTGTTGTGTGTATGTGTGTGTGTGTGTATGGTGTGTGTGTTGCTGTGATGTGTGTGTGTGGTGTGTGTTTTGTGTTGTATGTTGTGTTGTGTGTGTATGGTGTGTGTGTGTTTGGTTGTGTGTGTTTGGTTGTGTATGGTTGTGTGTGCATGTTTAGTTGTGTATGACTCTTGCATGTTTGTTTGGTTGAGTATGTGTTTCTGTTTGTGTGCACTTAGTTGTGTGTGTTTGTGTTTGGTTGTGTGTGTGTGTGTATTTATTTTGCATGTGGGTGTGTTCATATGAACATAATTTAATTGTGTGTATGTATCTATATTCCAGTTAAACTAATCCAATTATTGGATACAATTACTCAAAATACACAAAAAAAGGCAGTAATTAAAAGATCTCAATTATACATTTGAAACTTATTATTATAGTAGTTTTTATTCATTTTGTCAAAACAAGTTCATTAATTAGTATGGCTGCATTTATGAGCAACATAACTGGTTCATGTGAAGAGTTATTATTTTAATTCCTAATATTACATGATCATCACATGCATCTCCTCACATGACAAATACTTTTTCTGCATCTTTGATGTTGAATGTTTGGCGAGAACGTGGGCAGACGATGGTGCCGTTATTTTCACTGGCCATCTGTTGAAGGGCCTGAAGAGGAAAGAATATTATGGGAAATTTACTGTATACTCTATGTGCTATACAAAAATTTCCTCAGAATGATGTTTTTAATAATAGTGTAAACTGATAATCATCAATCTATAAAACAGAAGTCAATGTGAAAATAAGGTCCAAAATGAGTGACTGAGCATAGTTTAGTTATAAAGTATTGTGCAATATTTAATATTTATTATAACAAAACAATTTACTTTCAGGGGTCTATTCATGTTTCAAATTATTTACCAATCGGTATCAAGTAGAAGAGTTCTGTCATGTACACTCACATTACCCTTGACTCAAGTTATAGAAAATAGTTATTTCATCCCAATTCAAAAAGTGTTGTAATCCCAACACTATAATGTGAACTCTATTTTTATTTTATATCATACTGGCAGTCTCTCACTAAGGCAGGGTGGCAAATCATCCTCTAAATGGTAACATTTCTACCTCTCCTTAGTGCACTGTACTTCTCACCTCCATGACTCAAAGTCTGGCTAAGCAGTTTTCTGAATTCCTTCATAATGTCCAATTGCTCACATTACAACAGTACATCAAGTCATAGAGGCTACTTTTCTCCATATTCACCAGTGTAGCATGCTCACATAAGCATGCTGGATGCTCAAGTCCCTAGCACTCAAAATTTATTTTTAACCCCCTTCTCCAAGCCCTGTTTGGGATGACTCCAACATATATTAAATTAATGTACTGTTTTTATATTACTATTATCTTAAGATTTGCCCAAAACTCTGTGCATTATATAGGCTTTAAAAAATATGCTATATACATAGTGAAAAGTAAGCCATCGATTTAATGAACTAACAGAAAGGAGGAGAGGGTGGATGGTAATGATGAATAAAGATGACATTCTTTGACATAAAAATAACAATAACTGACAATTTTGCAACCAATGATCCTTGTCTGTTGTTTCTGAAACTACTGAATCAGTAGATTTTTATCCACGTATTTCTGAGGAGGTTTTGTGGGTAAGGGGCTTGGACTTCCAGCAAGCGTGCGTGAGCGTGTTAGATAGGAGTGAATGGAGACGAATGGTACTTGGGACCTGACGATCTGTTGGAGTGTGAGCAGGGTAATATTTAGTGAAGGGATTCAGGGAAACCGGTTATTTTCATATAGTCGGACTTGAGTCCTGGAAATGGGAAGTACAATGCCTGCACTTTAAAGGAGGGGTTTGGGATATTGGCAGTTTGGAGGGATATGTTGTGTATCTTTATATGTTTATGCTTCTAGACTGTTGTATTCTGAGCACCTCTGCAAAAACAGTGATAATGTGCGAGTGTGGTGAAAGTGTTGAATGATGATGAAAGTATTTTCTTTTTGGGGATTTTCTTTCTTTTTTGGGTCACCCTGCCTCGGTGGGAGACGGCCGACTTGTTGAAAAAAAAAAAAAAAAAAAAATTTCTGAGGATAGTGAGGCTCAGGTTAGGGTGTGTAGAAGAGAGGGAGACTACTTCCCAGTAAAAGTAGGTCTAAAGACAGGGATGTGTAATGTCACCATGGTTGTTTAATACATTTATAGATGGGGTTCTAAAAGAAGTAAATGCTAGGGTGTTCGGGAGAGGAGTGGGATTAAATTATGGGGAATCAAATACAAAATAGGGATTGACACAGTTGCTTTTTGTTGATGATACTGTGCTTATGGGAGATTCTAAAGAAAAATTGCAAAGGTTAGTGGATGAGTTTGGGAGTGTGTAAAGGTAGAAAGTTGAAAGTGAACATAGAAAAGAGTAAGGTGATGAGGGTATCAAATGATTTAGATAAAGAAAAATTGGATATCAAATTGGGGAGGAGTAGTATGGAAGAAGTGAATTATTCCAGATACTTGGGAGTTGACGTGTTGGCGGATGGATTTATGAAGGATGAGGTTAATCATAGAACTGATGAAGGAAAAAAGGTGAGTGGTGCATTGAGGTATATGTGGAGACAAAAAACATTATCTATGGAGGCAAAGAAGGGAATGTATGAAAGTATAGTAGTACCAACACTCTTATATGGGTGTGAAGCTTGGGTAGTGAATGCAGCAGCGAGAAGGTGGTTGGAGGCAGTGGAGATGTCCTGTCTAAGGGCAATGTGTGGTGTAAATATTATGCAGAAAATTCGGAGTGTGGAAATTAGGAGAAGGTGTGGAGTTAAAAGTATTAGTCAGAGGGCTGAAGAGGGGTTGTTGAGGTGGTTTGGTCATTTAGAGAGAATGGATCAAAGTAGAATGATATGGAGAGTGTATAAATCTGTAGGGGAAGGAAGGCGGGGTAGAGGTCGTCCTCGAAAAGGTTGGAAGGAAGGGGTAAGGGAGGTTTTGTGTGCAAGGGGCGTGCATAAGCGTGTTAGTTAGGAGTGAATGGAGGCAAATGGTATTTGGGACCTGACGATCTGTTGGAGTGTGAGCAGGGTAATATTTAGTGAAGGGATTCAGGGAAACTGATTATTTTTATATAGCCGGACTTGAGTCTTGGAAATGGGAAGTACAATGCCTGCACTCTAAAGGAGGGGTTTGGGATATTAGCAGTTTGGAGGTATATATTGTGTATCTTTATACCTACATGCTTCTAAACTGTTATGTCCTGAGCACCTCTGCAAAAACAGTGATTATGTGTGAGTGAGGTGAAAATGTTGAATGATGATGAAAGTGTTTTCTTTTTGGGGATTTTCTTTCTTTTTGGGTCACCCTGCCTCAGTGGAAGATGGCCGACTTCTTAAAAAAAAAAAAAAAAAAAAAAAAAATCTGAAGTCTGTTAAATCGAGGGTTTACTGAAAATATGCAATTTACAGTAGTGCACTTCTCACCTTCTGCCCATATACATATCCATTGGGCAACATAAGTGGTTGATTGTTTTCATTGAGTGGTTCTCCACTTATATGACAAACCAGACGAGACTGTGAGCAGTGAGCATATGGAAGAGGAGAAGCCAGGGAGTTGAAAGATGGCTGACATACAGGACAGTCTGGGTTGTGTCCCGTGGCACCCTGAAACAACAAAAATGACTGTACCTTTCATGTAAATGTTCCATTACATGTGCAATAATTAATATGGGAGATATACAAAATATTGAGGTGATAGCTAAATAATGCAACTACTTTTTTTTTTTTTTTTTTCAAAATTTGCTCTGAATATGGTTGTATTTTTTGTGTGCTCTGAATATTTCCACATATCTCATAAATGAACGATAGTAATTATGAAAGCAATATTATTTCTGAACTTCACTGACTATATGAAAAAGCATCATTTTGTTCTTTTCTTCACACAGAAGTACTGAAGTAAGTCAATTTGACTATGCAAGGCAAGTCCAACTTTCACCCAATCATTTCTTTCCATGCATCTATTTAACCAATTTTTAAAAGCACAAACAGTAATTGCTTCATTAGCATTACATGCCAATTTGTTTCTCTTATCTACAATTCAAACTGCTAAGTCAGTCATTTCCTATACCATATAAGCTTTCTCAATCAGAGTTCATCCAATTTAGATGCTGTGTTGAATTCTGTATTGATTAGATATTTTCAGAACTTTATTCACAATCCCTTGTATTTATTCCTATCTTCCATTAGTAAATTTTAATCATGTCCTTCCTTGTTCTATGCATACTTAATCTATTTTCAAAGGAAATATTTTTTTTTTTTTTAACACACTGGCCATCTCCCACCAAAGCAGGGTGACCAAAAAAAGAAACAATTTCACCATCATTCACACATAATTACTGTCTTTGCAGAGGTGCCCAGATATGACAGTTTAGATGTCACTCCAAACAGCCAACATCAGAAACCCCTCCTTTAACCCCTTGACTGCCGCAACCCTTAATCCTGAGGTGTCTCCTGGTGTCGCAAAATTAAAAAAAAAAAAAAAAAAAAAAAAAAAAAAATAAATAAATAAATAAATAAATAAATATAATATATATATATATATATATATATATATATATATATATATATATATATATATATATATTTATATTTTTTTTCAACAAGTCGGCCGTCTCCCACCGAGGCAGGGTGACCCAAAAAAGAAGAAAATCCCCAAAAAGAAAATACTTTCATCATCATTCAACACTTTCACCACACTTGCACATTATCACTGTTTTTGCAGAGGTGCTCAGAATACAACAGTCTAGAAGCATACACATATAAAGATACACAACATATCCCTCCAAACTGCCAATATCCCAAACCCCTCCTTTAAAGTGCAGGCATTGTACTTCCCATTTCCAGGACTCAAGTCCGACTATATGAAAATAACCGGTTTCCTGAATCCCTTCACTAAATATTACCCTGCTCACACTCCAACAGATCGTCAGGTCCCAAGTACCATTCGTCTCCATTCACTCCTATCTAACACGCTCACGCACGCTTGCTGGAAGTCCAAGCCCCTTGCCCACAAAACCTCCTTTACCCCCTCTCTCCAACCCTTTCGAGGACGACCCCTACCCCGCCTTCCTTCCCCTATAGATTTATATGCTTTCCATGTCATTCTACTTTGATCCATTCTCTCTAAATGACCAAACCACCTCAACAACCCCTCTTCTGCCCTCTGACTAATACTTTTATTAACTCCACACCTTCTCCTAATTTCCACACTCCGAATTTTCTGCATAATATTTACACCACACATTGCCCTTAAACAGGACATCTCCACTGCCTCCAACCGTCTTTTCCCGATTGTAATGACACCAAAAAAAACGAAATTTGATGGAAAACTGACGAAATTATGCTCTCGTGAAGTTAGCAACCTTGGCGATATTTACAAATTGGTGATTTCGCCCACTTTGAGCCCTATTTTCAGCTAATGCCATTGTTCCAGTCGGCCAAACTCATAGCTATTTCTTTAGAACTCCATTTTTTCTATCGATTGAGTACAAGAAACTGCCCATTTACCGATTACAACTATCCAATAACGTGGTCAGAAATTTGCAATTTGGCCAATTTCACAAAAATTAAAAAAATATGACAATTTCAAAATAAGGTCCAGAATGAACAATGCAGACATTCCTGGCTCTAAAATAACATTTTCTTTGTTCATCAGTCACGTCTCCAGGCCCCTCTGATATTACTCTTGCTTTCTATTTTGAATTTTTATTCAAACAAAAAATAGAAGATTTACTGTTATGCAGACTACTGCAATACTGTAATAATTGTACAAATAATGTCAACCCATTCATGACTGCATATTAGAATGGCTAGTTGGACATTTATTGGACAATGACATCATTTGTTTGCTTTTGAACATCAGCAAAAATCAAACATTTCCCCTAGTTTGAGCTCCATTTCCAGGTTCTTTTTATAGCAAAACCAATGAAAATCACCTCTATTTCTATAATATGTTTTTCATTCTATCAAATGAGACCAAGAAAACGAGAATACAACCATAAATACTATACGAAAATAGACCACAAAGTCGGCATTTTAATAAAAAAAAAAAAGGTCGTTTTTTTTTCTCATTATGCACTGCATGCTCCAGGATTTTTTTTATATGGTGCACACTGACCACACAGACCCATTCTCTCACATGTGGGCCTACCAGCTTTCTCCTGCTTGATTTGAAGCCGCTAGAACTTATGAGTATATATACGTCAAACACAGTACCTCGTAAGACGTATATATACGACCAAAACAGTCAAAGGGTTAAAATGCAGGTATTGTACTTCCCATTTCCAGGATTCAAGTCCAGCTAACCGGTTTCCCAGAATCTCGTCACAAACTGTTACCCTGCTCACACTCCAACAGCCTGTCAGGTCCCAAAAACCAATTGTCTCCATTCACTCCTAACATGCTCACAGACGCTTGCTGAAAGTCCAAGCCCCTTGCCCACAAAACTTCCTTTACCCCCTCCTTCCAACCTTTTTGAGGATGACCCTTACCCAGCCTTCCTTCCCCTACAGATTTATACGCTCGCCAAGTCATTCTACTTTGTTCCATTCTCTCTAACTGATCAAACCACCTCAACAACTCCTCTTCAGCCCTCTGACTAATACTTTTAGTAACTCTACACCTCCTCCTCCTAATTTCCACACTATGAATTCTCTGCATAATATTTACACCACACATTGCCCTTAGACACGACATCTCCACTGACTCCAGCCTCCTCCTTGCTGCAGCATTTACAACCCATGCTTCACACCCATATAAGAGTGTTGGTATCACTATACTCTTGTACATTCCCTTCTTTGCCTCCATGGATAACGTTTTTTGTCTCCACAAGTACCTCAACAATTTTCTTCTTATTCTTTTTAGTAATTATTACAGGAAAAGGGGTTACTAGCCCATTGTTTCCGGCATTTTAGTTGACTTTTACAACAAGCATGGCTTACGGAGGAAAGACTCTTATTCCACTTCCCCATGGATATAAAAGGAAAAGTAATAAGAACAAAAACTATTAAGATAAAATCAAAGAAAACTCAGATGAGTGTGTATAAACAAACATGTACATGTATGTGTAGTGTGGCCTAAGTGTAAGTAGAAGAAGCAAGACGTACCTGTAATCTTGCATATTTATGAGACAGACAAAAGACACCAGCAATCCTAACCATCACGTAAAACAATTACAGGCTTTCGTTTCACACTCACTTGGCAGGACGGTAGTACCCCCCTCGGTATCAAATGATTTAGATAGAGAAATTGGATATCAAATTGGAGAGGAGGAGTATGGAAGAAGTGAATGTTTTCAGATACAGTGGACCCTCGACCAACGATGGCATCGTATAACGTTAAATCTGACTAGCGATACATTTTAACACAAAAATTTTGCCTCGACTATCGCTAAAAAACTCAACCAACGCGATTCGTTCCGTTCGAGACGCGTCCATGTGTGGCTTGAGCGCGCCTCACTTGTCCCGTGGGTGCCAGTGTTTACAAGCCAGCCACCACGGTCGCATCCAAACATACAATCGGAACATTTCATATTATCACAGCATTTTTAGTGATTGCCCCTGCAAAATAAGTCACCATTCCCCAAGACCTGGCTTAAGTGGTAATGCCATCAGTGCAACTGAGGAACCAAGGTTCAATCCTGAAACCCTGGATACATTTATTTACACCTGTTCATCTAATAAATGGGTACCTGGGTGTTAACTGTCATGGATGACATTCCAAGAAGTGCACCTAGTGCCAACCCTGTGATAAAAAGGGTGAGAATTAGTATGGAAATTAAGAAAGATTTTGAAGGGTTTGGGGCTAACCCTGAGATGCCTATGCCAGTTGTGGAATCCATTGTGCCTACTTCAAAGATTAAGGAAATGTGTGCAAAGTGGGTTGAACTGCAAACCTTTATGGATGAAAATCACCCTAACACAGCTATTGCAAGCCTGTGCTGGTGACTATTACAATGACAATGTTATGGCCCATTTTAGACAAATCTTAAAGGAACAGGAGGTACAGAGCTCTATGGACAGATATGTTGTGCGACAGAGGTCCAGTGACTCTCAAGCTGGTCCTAGTGACATTAAAAGAAGAAGGGAAGTAACCCCGGAAAAGGACTTGACACCTCAAGTCCTAATGGAAGGGGATTCCCCTTCTAAACACTAACACCATCCACACTCTCCCCTCCTCCCATCCCATCAATCATCACCAGATCTTCAATAAAGGTAAGTGTCATGTAATTGTACATGTCTTCTTCAGTTTGTGTGTATTAAAATTAATATTTTGTGTGGTAAAAAATTTTTTTCAATACTTTGGGGTGTCAGGAACGGATTAATTTGATTACCATTATTTCTTATGGGGAAAATTAACTCAACTAACAATAATTTCGACTAACGATGAGCTCTCAGGAACGGATTAATATCGTTGGTTGAGGGTCCACTGTACTTGGGATCTGACGTGTCGGCGGATGGATTTATGAAGGATAAGGTTAATCATAGAATTGATGAGGGAAAAAAGGTGAGTGGTGCATTGAGGTATATGTGGAGACAAAAAACGTTATCTATGGAGGCAAAGAAGGGAATGTATGAAAGTATAGTAGTACCAACACTCTTATATGGGTTTGAAGCTTGGGTTGTGAATGCAGCAGCGAGGAGGCGGTTGGAGGCAGTGGAGATGTCCTGTCTAAGGGCAATGTGTGGTGTAAATATTATGCAGAAAATTCGGAGTGTGGAAAATTAGGAGAAGGTGTGGAGTTAATAAAAGTATTAGTCAGAGGGCTGAAGAGGGGTTGTTGAAGTGGTTTAGTCATTTAGAGAGAATGGATCAAAGTAGACTGACATGGAGAGCGTATAAATCTGTAGGGGAAGGAAGGCGGGGTAGGGGTCGTCCTCGAAAAGGTTGGAGGGAGGGGGTAAAGGAGGTTTTGTGGGCGAGGGGCTTGGACTTTCAGCAAGCGTGCGTGAGCATGTTAGATAGGAGTGAATGGAGACCAATGGTATTTGGGACCTGACGATCTGTTGGAGTGTGAGCAGGGTAATATTTAGTGAGGGGATTCAGGGAAACCAGTTATTTTTATATAGCCAGACTTGAGTCCTGGAAATGGGAAGTACAATGCCTGCATTCTAAAGGAGGGGTTCGGGATATTAGCAGTTTGGAGGTATATATTGTGTATCTTTATAGGTATATGCTGCTAAACTGTTGTGTTCTGAGCACCTCTGCAAAAACAGTGATTATGTGTGAGTGAGGTGAAAGTGTTGAATGATGATGAAAGTATTTTCTTTCTGGTGATTTTCTTTCTATTTTTGGGTCACCCTGCCTTGGTGGGAGACGGCCGACTTGTTAAAAAAAAAAAAAAAAAAAAAAAAAAAAAAAAAAAAGTACCTCAATGCACAACTTGCCTTTTTTCCTTCATCAATTCTATGGTTAACCTTGTCCTTCATAAACCCATCTGCTGACAAGTCAATTCCCAAATATCTGAACACATTCACTTCTTCCATACTCCCTCCCGCCAATGTAATATCCAATTTTTCTTTATCTAAATCATTTGATACCCTAATCACCTTACTCTTATCTATGTTTCCTTATATCCTAATTATTTGTCAGCCTAATTCTGTGTTGTCAGCAAACTTACTGTATCACTTTCAAATCCCTCATCTTGAATCGGTCAGTTATGTAAGTAACGAACAGGAGACTGAATACAGATCCATGCAGAACTCCCTTTGTGAAATATTCCCATTACAATTTCTTCCCATTTATAAAAAATAAACTATAACCTATCAGTTAGTCAAGTCTCAATCCAAAAGAGAACTTCTATGCAATGTCTTATCACCACCTGTATTTATTCCTTTGTTTGGAACCCTAACAAAGGCCTTACTGAAGTTTATATGAACAACATCAAACTCTGTAAGTGTCCACCACTTCAGTTATCTTGTGAATTAGTCAGTAAACCTGTCATGCAAGAACCTTTCATGAAGCCATATTGAAACTTGGCAATAAAATTATAGCATGACTCAAGAAATCGTAATGACACGATTGCAAACAAACCATACCCCCAGCCGGGATTGAACCCGCGGTCATAGAGTCTCAAAACTCCAGCCCGTCGCTAACGCGACGGGCTAGAGTTTTGAGACTATGACCACGGGTTCAATCCCGGCCGGGGGTATGGTAAATTATAGCATGTTTATTATGATGACTGTAAATTGTATCCATTACCGATTACAATAACTTGCCTACTAGAGGCTAGACTCAGGGTGGTAACTTGAAGCTAAAAACTTATCTTTCAACTGCATTTCTGTTAAGACAAAAAAAAATTTAAAATATAATTATGGTATGTGCATGTTCAGTTATTATGAAAATTTATAAATGACAGCCTCCAACCCATGAATGAGCCACACTTGATGGCAGTCACTAATCTCTCTGGGTAAAAAAAAATTCCTGGTTGGATTATTCCTTATGACCCTCTGCAGTGTAGCGGTAGAGCACTGAGCTAGTAATCTTTGAACTGCTAGATCACAGGTTAAGGGCCCTGTCAGTCCACTGCAATGTTCAAAAGTATAACAGAAAAGTGAAAAATATGTATGGAGATATGTACGTGAGGTGTCAACTTGATAATCAAGTTGTTATACTAGTCTTTTCCTTACCCTATAACAGTGAGGAGTTTTGAGTGCAGATAGCCCAGACTGGACAACAAGAGAGAAGGCCGACTGTGAAGATAACTGGTACAACTTCAGGTTTTCGGCTCGAAACTGCTCAATCAACCCATCCCATCGTACATCTGACAACAGTTCTTTGTATGGAGTGACATCTGAAGGCAAAGATACTGATGAATACGTATTCTTAATGAATAACTTTTAAAGAAATAATTATTGATAAACTGCACTGAAATGCATTAAAAAAGTAGATACTTCAATAATAGATTAATAAAAACATAAGGCATAATAAATACTGTACAAGTAATTAAAATACAAAAATATACAATAGTCTGTAGTAAGCATACATATATGCTCACGTGAGCACCACCCCTCCCCACATGCACACACACAAAAAAATTATTATCTGGTCTTCCATTAACACCTCTCTTGTCCAGGTGAATAGACAATTAATGCTGCCTACCTTTCACATCCCACTTTTATTTTATGTGACACAAATTTGAAGTTAAACATTAATACCCTTACTTTTTATTTCACAAGTGCTCGTTCAACATTAATGCTATTCCTTTAGCTCTTGTTCACTCAAGATACACCCAACCTTAACTGCTTTAACTCCTCTCCATTGAAAATCTCCCACCCCCTTTTCAACTATGATTTACTAAGTGTTATACATAAAGCATACTTTTAATTATAATCTAAACAATTTTCTTTTATCATCCACTATGCTTACTTGCACATTCAAACCACCAATTAAATTTTTTTTTTTTACCATAATTATGTTTAGAAAAATGGGTTACCAGCCCCTTGTTTCCAGCATTTGAGTCACTTCACGACACAGATGCTGAGAGCAAACATTACTGGAATATAAACTTTAAAGATACTTTTTTTTTTTTTCAACAAGTCGGCCGTCTCCCACCGAGACAGGGTGACCCAAAAAAGAAAGAAAATCCCCAAAAAGAAAACACTTTCATCATCATTCAACACTTTCACCACACTCACACATTATCACTGTTTTTGCAGAGGTGCTCAGAATACAACAGTTTAGAAGCATATACGTATAAAGATACACAACATATCCCTCCAAACTGCCAATATCCCAAACCCCTCCTTTAAAGTGCAGGCATTGTACTTCCCATTTCCAGGACTCAAGTCCGACTATATGAAAATAACCGGTTTCCCTGAATCCCTTCACTAAATATTACCCTGCTCACACTCCAACAGATCGTCAGGTCCCAAGTACCATTCGTCTCCATTCACTCTATCTAACACGCTCACCACGCTTGCTGGAAGTCCAAGCCCCTTGCCCACAAAACCTCCTTTACCCCCTCTCTCCAACCCTGTCGAGGACGACCCCTACCCCGCCTTCCTTCCCCTATAGATTTATATGCTTTCCATGTCATTCTACTTTGATCCATTCTCTCTAAATGACCAAACCACCTCAACAACCCCTCTTCTGCCCTCTGACTAATACTTTTATTAACTCCACACCTTTTCCTAATTTCCACACTCCGAATTTTCTGCATAATATTTACACCGCACATTGCATCTCCACTGCCTCCAACCGTCTCCTCGCTGCTGCATTGACAACCCAAGCTTCACACCCATATAAGTGTTGGTACTATTATACTTTCATACATTCCCTTCTTTGCCTCCATAGATAACGTTTTTTGACTCCATATATACCTCAACATACCACTCACCTTTTTTCCCTCATCAATTCTATGATTAACCTCATTCTTCATAAATCCATCCGCCGACACGTCAACTCCCAAGTATCTGAAAACATTCACTTCTTCCATACTCCTCCTCCCCAATTTGATATCCAATTTTTCTTTATCTAAATCATTTGATACCCTCATCACCTTACTCTTTTCTATGTTCACTTTCAACTTTCTACCTTTACACACACTCCCAAACTCATCCACTAACCTTTGCAATTTTTCTTTAGAATCTCCCATAAGAACAGTATCATCAGCAAAAAGTAACTGTGTCAATTCCCATTTTGTATTTGATTCCCCATAATTTAATCCCACCCCTCTCCTGAACACCCTAGCATTTACTTCTTTTACAACCCCATCTATAAATATATTAAACAACCATGGTGACATTACACATCCCTGTCTAAGACCTACTTTTACCGGGAAGTAGTCTCCCTCTCTTCTACACGCCCTAACCTGAGCCTCACTATCCTCATAAAAACTCTTTATAGCATTTAGTAACTTACCACCTATTCCATATACTTTCAACATCTGCCACATTGCTCCCCTATCCACTCTATCATATGCCTTTTCTAAATCCATAAATGCAATAAAAACTTCCCTACCTTTATCTAAATGCTGTTCACATATATGCTTCAATGTAAACACTTGATCTACACATCCCCTACCCACTCTGAAACCTCCTTGCTCATCCGCAATCCTACATTCTGTCTTGCCTCTAATTCTTTCATTTATGACCCTACCGTACACTTTTCCTGGTATACTCAGTAAACTTATTCCTCTATAATTTTTACAATCTCTTTTGTCCCCCTTCCCTTTATATAAAGGGACTATACATGCTCTCCGCCAATCCCTAGGTACCTTCCCCTCTTTCATACATTTATTAAACAAAAGTACCAACCACTCCAACACTATATCCCCCCTGCTTTTAACATTTCTGTCATGATCCCATTAGTTCCAGCTGCTTTACCCCCTTTCATTCTACGTAATGCCTCACGTACCTCCCCCACACTTACATTCTGCTCTTCTTCACTCCTAAAAGATGGTATACCTCCCTGGCCAGTGCATGAAATTACCGCCTCCCTTTCTTCCTCAACATTTAAAAGTTCCTCAAAATATTCTCGCCATTTACCTAATACCTCCCTCTCCCCATCTACTAACTCTCCTACTCTGTTTTTAACTGACAAATCCATATGTTCCCTAGGCTTTCTTAACTTGTTTAACTCACTCCAAATTTTTTTCTTATTTTCATTAAAATTTCTTGACAGTGCCTCTCCCACTCTATCATCTGCTCTCCTTTTGCACTCTCTCACCACTCTCTTCACCTTTCTTTTACTCTCCATATACTCTGCTCTTCTTATAACACTTCTGCTTTGTAAAAACCTCTCATGTAGTACTAATAATAATCACTCTTGGACACACTAAATGTCTTATTTTACGTTAATATAGACATTTTCATTAATTCACCTATGATATTTTCTTCAAAATTATATAAGAAACACATTACATAACATATAAACATGCTATGTTTATATGCTGGGCTGAGAGAAAACATTACGTTTTCTCTGGTCTAGCGCCAAAGAAAACGTGTATGAATCTGCATTTGGCCTAGTCACTCCCCTTAACACTCCGCTTTTGTTTACAATTCTTGGCATGAATTATTCATTATTTCTCCCTTCGTTTATGATGGCATCTAAAGACAGTTGTTAGAAACTGATTAAATTCAATGAACAAGGTATGTCATTGGTAATAATATGGCTCTGGGCCGCAGTGTAGGTAGCCCATCGGTGTAGTCCAGGCAGGCTACATCTACCAGCTACCTACACTGACTTCCTACAAATAAATACTACTCACCTCTCATCCAACATTAAGACTACACATATTTTAAAGTAAATAATGAGTGTACTGCATGCGAATTTTATCTCCCTGGGCTACTTTAAATATTGTATATTAAGTTTGGAATGGAGAGCCAGGAATAGCTACACCTAATCTCCTACAAATATGTACCACTCACCTCTCACCCTACATTAATAAGACTACAAATATTTTAAGGTAAGCAATGAATGTACTGTGTATGTACAGTAGGGCCCCCACTTATACGGAAGTTTAGGTTCCAGGCTACTGCCGGAAAGCAGGATGCCATTTTTTTCCACTTATGTCAGATAATAAGTTTACACTAACATATATTAAGTTAGCAATAGAACAAGGCATTAAAAACAATAAAAAGTAAAATATACACACAGTACACTCATTATTTACCTCAAAATATTTGTAGTCTAGTGTTTATTGTAACAAGCGAGGTGTGGTAGGTATGGCAGCCAGCCAGGCCAAACTACCCAACCCCACCCACACTTTATATATTTCAATATTTAAAGATCCCTAGAGCAATAAAATGCATTTAGTGTACACTCATTACTTACCTTAAAATATTTTTAGTCTTAATGGTCTTAATATAGGATGCAAGGTGAATAGTAGGGTAGGTAGGTATCGAAGTGTAGTAGGTATCATAACCCCATCTGGCCATCCCACTCACTTTATATACTAGGCATTTAAAGTGCCCTAGAGCAATAAAATGTATATACAGTACACTCATTACTTAATATGCATATTAACTTCTCTTCTTCTTTCAACAAACCGGCCATATCCCACCGAGGCAGGGTGGCCCAAAAAGAAAAACAAATGTTTCTCTTTTTAAATTTAGTAATTTATACAGGAGAAGGGGTTACTAGCCCCTTGCTCCCGGCATTTTAGTCGCCTCTTACAACACGCATGGCTTACAGAGGAAGAATTCTGTTCCACTTCCCCATGGAGATAAGAGGAAATAAACAAGAATAAGAACTAGAAAGAAAATAGAAGAAAACCCAGAGGTGGGTGTATATATATGCCTGTACATGTATGTGTAGTGTGACCTAAGTGTAAGTAGAAGTAGCAAGACGTACCTGTAATCTTGCATATTTATGAGACGGACAAAAGACACCAGCAATCCTACCATCATGTAAAACAATTACAGGCTTTCGTTTTACACTCACCTGGCAGAACGGTAGTACCTCCCTGGGTGGTTGCTGTCTACCAACCTACATCCTATTATTAACTTCTCACATTATATATAAAAAATCTAGTCTAAATTCAATATTTTCTATTCTGTATACAAAAGTACATCACTACCACCATATATGATGTATTATCCTCTAATTTTGAGTAAGCATTTATTACTGCTCTAGGTAGTAGGCTGGTAGACAGCAACCACCCAGGGAGGTACTACCGTCCTGCCAAGTGAGTGTAAAACGGAAGCCTGTAATTGTTTTACATAATGGTAGGATTGCTGGTGTCCTTTTTTCTGTCACATAAACATGCAAGATTTCAGGTATGTCTTGCTACTTCTACTTACACTTAGATCACACTACACATACATGTACAAGCATACATGTATATACACACCCCTCTGGGTTTTCTTCCATTTTTCTTACTAGTTCTTGTTCTTGTTTATTTCCTCTTACCTCCACGGGGAAGTGGAACATAATTTTAAGCCAGCCCGTAACGCTATGCATATAAGTGGCTTTGGCATGCTGCTCTTACCTGTATTTTTTTGTACCTCTGTATGTATGCTCAAATTACTAAATAAATAAATAAATAATAAATAAATTCTTCCTCCGTAAGCCATGCGTGTTGTAAGAGGCGACTAAAATGCCGGGAGCAAGGGGCTAGTAACCTCTTCTCCTGTATATATTACTAAATGTAAAAGGAGAAACTTTCGTTTTTCCTTTTGGGCCACCCCGCTTCGGTGGGATACGGCTGGTGTGTTAAAAAAAAAAAAAATTATTACTGCATACTTAAGCTTTAACAATACTGTACAATGACTTTCATCTTTAATCTTAGGCCATCCTATTTTCTTGAAAGAAAAGCTCACCTGTGTTGGCTGGAAAGGCAACCAGTGCCATACAGCGTTGTATAGAAGGCAAATGCCCTGGTTCCTGTCCTGTAAAGTGCTTTCTTGCATGCCTATTAGGAATAGAATAGAACTGATATGTAAATACATGGACATTAAAATTGTGTTGATAGATTTTATAAACCATAGTAGACTCGTCAAAAATAAGTACACAAAGGAGTTTTCAGATATGGCAGTGAATTGTCCCTTTTAGTATTTTAATTACAAAAAATCTACTTTTAAAATGATAACTCAGTAGTCATGGTCTGCTCCTAATCATTTACCGGATAGCTTCCATTCGACGGTCACTCTTGATCAGCTCTATAAACTCTTGCATCCGCACATTAAATTCAAGGGAGGAATTGAGCTTGCGTAGCTTGCTCTTGTTATCGTGGCACCAGGAAAGGCACTTGCTTGTATCACGACAGGCCAATGACTGCTCAACCTCTCTTGCAACCAAAAAGACGTCTAAATTTGTTAGACCTTCTATACCACGAGAACTTGCTAACTGAAATATTCATGGAATATTAGGTGAAAGCAAATTGATATAACCACTTATAAAACCACAAATATCAGAGTAAATAATACAGTACACATAGTATATATGCATGGGGTTCTACAATAAAATGCAATACTATCTACAATTAATCATAACACAAGAAAAGGCTGGCAAACAAGTCATTTTGCTCAAGATCCAGACAACTCTCCCCCCCACATGAACCTTACGCTTCTATTTTGGCCACTAGCAACTGACCTTAGTAGCTGTTGAGTAACATCCAGCTCTTAAAAGATACTCCACTAATAGTCGATCAAGTCTAGTGCGTTTCCACTCTGCTACAACTGAGGAGCTACGAGAGTCGTGCTCTTTCAGGTGATCAACACGACGTTTTACCACACGACCAGATTCCATCTCTTCTTGGGTGGCTTCTTCTGCCTATGAAATACCAATTATATTTAAAGCACATCCTAAAAAACAGCTGATATATTGAGAATAAATATCACAAAAAGAGTTTTCAGCATGCAGTACTTTCAGAGTAAACTGACATAAGAAAAAATATTATATAAAATTTTGCAAGCTTATTATATGAAAAACTTTCCTTGTAAAGACTCATCTTCTATATTCATAATATTTTTAATCAATTCTCCATGTTACAAAGGTGAAGCACTGATCACAAGTTAGCACAAAGAACTGATCACGAATACTAGATGAGTAAACAGAAATATATCAAAGTAATTAACACTATAAAATGAAAGAGTATACCTGGAGAGGGTTTTGGGGATCAACGCCCCCACGACTCAGTCTGAGACCAGGCCTCGTGGTGGATCAGGGTCTGATCAACCAGGCTGTTACTGTTGGCTGCATGCAAACTGATGTACGAACCACAGCCCGGCTAGCCAGGTACTGACTTTAGAGTGCTAACATCTGCCATAATTAATACTGAAGCACTTCATATAATGTAAGCCTTCCAGTACACCAAACTGTCTTTTTGTATATAGTGGGTAATCACAGTCATAGATACCTAAAGTAACCTATATGAAATCACACTATCAAAAATTAATAAATAAATTTAAATGCAGTGGACCCTTGGGTAATGACATTAATCCATTCCAGACAGCTTGTCTTTAACCGATTTTTTCATTATCCGAATTAATTTTCCCCATAAGAAATAATGGAAATCCAATTAATCCGTTCCAGACACCCAAAAGTATTAAACACAATATTTTTTTACATGAAATATACATTTCCCTACACAGAAAACAATGAGACATGCAGAATAAACAATACTGAAATGATACTTACCTTTATTGAGGACTTACTGATGAGTGATGAGATGGGAGGAGGGCAGAGGATGGAGGAGTTTACAAGTGTTTGGAAGGGGATTCCCCTTCCATAAAGACATTAGGTAACAAGTCATTTTCTGGAGTTACCTTCCTTCTTTGTTTTTTAATGCCACTAGGACCAGCTTGAGAGTCACTGGACCCCTGTCACACCAAAAATCTGTCAAGAGAGCTCTGTTTCTGGCATCTCTTTAAGATTTCCCTAAAATGGGACACAATAATGTCATTGTACATGTTGCCAATACGGCTTGCAACAGCTGTGTCAGGGTAATGTTCATCCATAAATGCTTGCACCTTTGTCCACACTGTACAAATGTCCTTAACCTCACCATGCCTTATCACACTGTGTATGCCAACGATTCTTAAATCTCTCAAACCAGCCTTTGCTGGCCTTAAATTCATCAATATGAGCACTATTTGGAGGCATTTTCTTAATGAGATCTGCATGCAACTGCTTTGCCTTTTCACATATTACTGACTGAGAAACACTATCTCCTGATAATTGTTTCTCGTTGATCCACACCAACAACAGTCTTCCACATCTTCGAGTATTTGTGATCTCTGTTTTGTAAGCATACCTGCACCTTTCGCAACAACAGCTTCCTTGATTGCCTTCTTGTTGGCCAAGATAGTAGCAATGGTTGAATAGCGTTTCTTATATAACCTGGCCAACTCAGAGACACGCACTCCACTTTCATATTTTGCGATGATCTCTTTCTTCAATAGTATTTCTCATCCTCGTTGCCACAGGGCTGGCACTAGAAGCTTTCTTTGGGCCCATGGTGGCTTATTTAGCAGTTACAAGCACTAAAAACAATGGAATAATACAAAATATATCACATGTACACGTGGAATCTTCCTCACTGGCTTGTAAACAATGGCACACTGGCTGTACATGGAATGGCCGGGTGGCTCAGGTCGCTTGGACACGTTCAGGATGAATGTCTTTGACCAAGTTCTTTTTCGGTAACCGAGCCAATATTTTGACACAAAAAGTGTCACTATCCGATTTTTTCGTTATCTGATGACATTGTTACCTGAGGGTCCACTGTAAATTAAAAATAAATTCCCGCGGCAGTGTATTTACCACCAAACAGTACGTCACTTATTAGGCTCTGATCCACCAGAAGGCTTGGTCACAGACCGGGCAGTGGGGGCGTTGACCCCCGGAACTCTCTCCAGGTAAACTCCAAGACCAAGAAATACTATGCTCTCTAAAGGAGGAAAAATCAGTAATCCAGAAAGGCTCTGGAACCAAAAGTTCCAGAAAATCAATGTTGTACCTGTATGTTGAAATACAGTGGAACGTCTACTTGCGAGTTTAATCCATTCCATGACCTTGCTCGCAACTGGATTTGCTCGTTTGCAGAGTCAATTTTTCTCATTTAAATTAACCTGATATATACTCTAAAATGAATAAAATATGTAATTCATGTGGTGGTATGGGCAGTGTCGGCGGTGGACGACAGTTTGTCTGGAGAAAATACTTCTTGAATAATTTCACTAATATCATCTATACGGCTTATTTATCTATCACAGTTCATGTAATATGACATAACAAACAATATAAATAACATAGAAACCTGATTTATACTCTAGAATGAATAAAATATGTCATTATATATGTGGCAGCGGTGGCCGATGAGTGTTTGGAGACAGGACAAAATACTCCTTGAATATTTCACTATCATCAACTCTACAGGTTATTTATCAATCACAGTTCATCTAATATGACATAACAAACAATATAAATAACATAGAAACCTGATATATACTCTAGAATGTATAAAATATGTCATTATATGTGTGGCAGCGACGGCGGCCAACTAGAGTTTGTCTGGAGACAGGGCAAAATACTCCTTGAAAATTTCGCTATCAATGCTACGGCTTATCTATCTGTCAGAGTTCATCTAATATGAAATAATAAACAATACAAATAACATAGAAACCTGATATATACTCTAGAATGAATAAAATATGTCATTATGTAACAGGTGGAGGCAGCCACAACCGCTCCCTCTTTGTTGTGGTAAACACTGCCATCTAGTGACGACCTTTTGCAGCCGTCTATTATTATAATTATTATTATGTAGTACATTATTATTATATATGTATTATTATTATACATATTATATTATTATTATTGTACTATATTATTATACATATTATTATTATTATTATTTATTATTATTATTCTTACAATATAAATAATTTGTAATTTTTATTCACACAAAAAATATAAGACCTACTGTTATGCCTTATTGCAATAATTGTATAAATAATGTCAACCCATTCACGACTGCATATTAGAATGGACAGTCAAATGAACATAGTCAAGAAAACAAGCATTTCTCCCTCACTGAGCTCAATTTCATGGTCCTTTTCGTCGTGAAAGCAATCAAAATCATATCTATTTCTGTAATACAGGAGGGCCCTGCTTTACGGCGTTTCGCTTTACGGCGTTCCGCTAATACGGACATTTCAAATTATGACCAAAACTCGCTATACGGCTCCCCCCACCTGTCTTTCTAATACGGTCACAGCGGCCCACCGAGTTTGTTTACATTCTCCCTGAGCACATCTCCTTATTATGTCTGGAAACTTTCCAAAATTTCAAGTGTTTTAAAGTTATTTTATATTTTATATGTATTGTACTTGATAATTAAACTTGTGTACACCTGTACCTAAATAAACTTACACACTGTGCTGGCATGTAGGTACACATTAAAATCACTAAGAGTCTCTCTACTCTTGATGCAATAATAATAATAATAATAATAATAATAATATAATAATAATAATAATAATAGTAATAATAATAATCTCTTGGGCGCATTAATGTCGCATATTATGTTAATATAGACATTTCCCTTAATCTATCTATGATATTTTTTCAAAATTATATAAGAAACACATTATGTAACACACAAACATGATACATGCACCCACAGTATAAAAATTTATACAAATATATACGAGATGTTTACCAAACGGTTTGTAGAAGTGTCGGAAGAATTACGTTTTCTCTAGCCCGTCACCTATTACTAGGGATAACTGTAGAAAAATATTCCTTTCGTATGCCTTCACTTTATAGCTATAATTCTGTACTAACTTGTACACAGTGTAAGAGTATTTGTTTTGTGATTTAATTATTATAATAATAATAAAAATATTATAAGGTAAAAGTTTCACAAACTCTTACAAATGTACATGAATGAACTAAAACTGGACACGTATTAATACCGTCTATTTCGCCTGACCGAGTGATCGTCCACAACCTGTTCAGTTTGTTTACGCTGTCTGAGCTCGGTGTATCATTAAATGTTGTATATTACGTTAATATACACATTTTCATTAATCCATCCGTGATATTTTTTTTCAAAATTATATAATAAATACGATACATAACATAAATACATAACAACATATGTGTAGAGAAACCTAGGATAACCCAAAAAAGTCAGAGTGACTTACTTCCATTGCCTTCACTCAGAGCATCATTTCTTCTCAAAATGATGTACATGAGAATGGGAGTGTTCTTCTTTATTTATTCTACCATATCAATGTAGAGACAACCTGTACACAATGTAACTTGTACACAAACCAGACGTGTACACTGTTTACAAAACTTACCTTCGCCTGGTTTGTTTACATAACTCTGCGCCTGTCCTCTCTCATGCACTCATTCTTTCTCTCTGGTATGGTAGCCTGGCTGACTACCATACATACCACACTTGATTTTTTACAATAAATACTACTCATCTCACCCTATATTTTAAGGTAAGTAATGAGTGAACTGTATATACGTTTTATCGCTCTGGGATGCTTAAATATCATAGAATTGTATGTGTGGGTGGGGTGGCCTGGTATGCTAGCCTGGCTGACTACCATACATACCACACTTGATATTTTACAATAAATACTACTCATCTCACCCTATATTTTAAGGTAAGTAATGAGTGAACTGTATATACATTTTATCGCTCTGGGATGCTTAAATATCATAGAATAGTATGTGTGGGTGGGGTGGCCTGGTATGGTAGCCTGGCTGACACCATACATACCACACTTGATTTCTTACAATAAATACTACTTGTCTCACCCTAGATTAAGACTATAAATATTTTAAGGTAAGTAATGAGTGCACTGTGTGTGTATTGTACTTTTTTATTGTTTTTTGATGCCTGGTTCTATTGCTAACATAATATATGTTAGAGTAAACTTGTTATCTAGTGTTTGTATGCATTTGTAAGTGGAAAAAAAGGGTGTTCCACTTTACGGCGGTTTCCGCTTTACGGCGGTAGCCTGGAACCTAACCCGCCATATAAGTGGGGCCCTCCTGTACGTATATCTTCCACTCTATCAAATGAGACCAAAAAAACGAGAATACAACCATAAAAACCATATGAAAATACCGCTAAAGGTTGGCTAATTGTTGAGAAGTGAACTCCATTATTTATGCTCCGATTTCTTTCATTTTTGGTGTACGTTAAGAAGCATCTTTCCATCATACATTGCCCAAGTTTCAATAAGATAGACCAACAAACAAATGAGATACAATCCCCTAGATCAAGAGCAAGAGCCCCTCACCAGTGTCAAGGAACCTGCCTTGAGGTCTGCTCGCTTATGGAAATTTTGCTCGTGTATGGAAGCAAAAAATCAACCCATCAACTGCTTGTATTCGGAAAAACTCGCACGTGGATACGCTCGCAAGTAGAGGTTCCACTATACTGAAGAAGAGGGGGAAGCTGTGATTTCATGCATTGGCCAAGGAGGTATAACACCTTTTAGGAGTGAGGAAAAGCCATATCTGTAAGGAAGGTACACGAGGCTGTGGGCAAAGCAGCTGGGACTGATGGGATCAAAACAGATGTTAAAAGCAGATGGAGATATAGTTTTGGAGTAGTTGGTGCTTTTATTTAATAAATGTATGAAAGAGGGGAAGGTACCTAGGGATAGGCAGAGAGTATGTATAATACTTTTGTATGAAGGCAAATAGAACAAAAGAGTGTGTGTAAGAACTACAGGAGGGCCCCATTTGTAAGACTTTTAAGTTCCCGACCCTGTGCAACAAGCAAAAATCGCCACTGGGTGGGAAAGAGTGTTTTTTTCATTACTGAATGCATCTAAAATGCCTAATAAAGTGTTTACACTATCATATATTAAGTACTCAATACAGCTAGTTATAAAAAGCAGATATAAAATAAATACACAGAACATACAATACTTACCTTAAAATAGGGCACTGGCCACCCTTCCCTCATGCAACAGTTGTGTGGAAAAGCAGTAAAAGTGCCGAACATAATGAACAATGGCTCAACAGAAAGCAAACGAAAATGTGGAACACCGAAAAGAGGGTGCCGAATATGCAGGGCCTTCCTGTATAGGGGAATAAGCCTGTTGAGTAAACCCGGTAAAGTGTATTGTAGTTATTATTGAAAGAATTTAGGGTAAGACAGAGTGCAGGATTGCAGATGAACAAGAAGGCTTTAGGAAGGGTAGAGGATGTGTAGATCAAGTGTTTATATTGAAGCATATAAGTGAACAGTATTTAGATAATGGTAATGAAGATTTCGTTGCATTTATAGATTTGGAAAAGGTGTATGACAAGGTTGATAGGGATTCAGTGTGGCAGATGTTACAAGTGTATGGAATAGGTGGTAGGTTACTGAAAGCAGTTATGAGTTTTTATGAGGATAGTGAGGCTCAGGTTAGGGTATGTAGAGAGGGAGATTATTTTCCAGTAAAAGTAGGACTTAGACAAGGATGTGTGATGTCACCATGGTTATTTAATATTTTTAAAGATGGGAATGTAAGAAAACTAAATGCTCGGGTGTTGGGAAGAGGTGTGGGATTGGAAGATAAAGAATCAAACACAAAGTGGACTTGTCACAGTTACTTTCTGCTGATGATACTGTGTGTTTGGGTGATTCTGAAGAGAAATTGCAAAGATTGGTGGATGAATTTGGGAGGGTTTGTAAAAGAAGGAAATTAGAAGTGAACACTGGAAAGAGAAAGGTGATGAAGGTAACAAAATATTTAGGTAATGAAAGACTGGGTATCAGATTTAGAGAAGAGTATGGAGGAAGTGAATGTGTTCATATATTTAGGAGTCGACTTGTCAGCAAATGTATCTATGAAACATGAGGTGAACCTTAGAAGTGACAAGGTAAAAAGTGTGAGTGGTGTATTAAGGCATCTGTGAAGACACAGAACATTATCCATGGAATCAAAATGGGGAATGTATGTGAGTACAGTGGTACCAATCCTGTTATATGGGTGTGAAACATGAGTTGTGAATGTTACAGCAAGGAGGAGGCTGGAGGCAGTGGAGATGCTGTGTTTGAGAGCAATGTGTGATGTGAATATTATGCAGAGAATTCACAGCTTGGCAATTAGGAGGAGGTGCAGGGTTACTAAAAATATTATTCAAATGGCTGAAGAGGGGTTGTTGAGATTGTTCGAACATTTAGAGAGGATGAAACAAAATAGGATAACTTGAAGGGCTCATAAATCTGTAATGGAGCGAAGGCGAAGTAGGGGTCATCCTAGGAAAGCTTGGAAAGCGGGAGTAAAGAAGGTTTTGTGTGCAAGGGGCTTGACATCCAGTATGTATGTATGAGTGTGTTAGATAGGAGTGGAGGCAAGCGTTTTTTTTATGACATGACATGTTGAAGTGTGAACAAGGTAAAATTTATGAAAGGATTCAGGGAAACCATTTAACCGGACTTGATTCTGGCTAAATGGTTTCCCTACACTCTGAAGGAGGGGTGGGGATATTTGCAGTTTTGAACTGTATTACTGACACCCTTATGGCAAGACAGAAATGGAGTGAGTGATGGTGAAAGAGTTTTTTTTTTTTTTTTTTTGGATTGCCCTACCTCAGTGGGAGACAGCTAGCTTTTGTTATCAATTTCTAAATGGTACATCTATATATCTATATCGGTCATACCTTACGCTTGAAGGAAGATAATTTCTCAACAACACCCCCAAGCAAAGATGATATTTGAGAGGCACTGCGGTTATCTGTGAAAAAGACTCGCTCTAGTTCTGTTACTGCAGAGGTTACATGGCAAACTTCTCGGTCTAAAGTTTTCTGTGCCAGCCTAAATTTCTTGTTGAGCACATCATAAGGAACCTAGATTAAAAAAAGAAAGTGATTAAATATATTATGTAATATTTAATATAAGCATACTGTATACATAGTGGTTAAATACAAAATGCTAAAAATGGGTATCAACACTGAGGTAAATATAAGAACAAATACTATCAAACCTTTGAGTTAGTGGACCTCAGGAAAATTGGAACAATGAACGAAGTCTATTATTACAGGAAAACTTCTATTTAACAGTCCCCTATTTAACAAATTTCAGAAATTACCAACAAAAAATTGGCCAGACAAATGGAATCATCATGTATAATGAAATAAAAGTCTGTACTAATTCCAGATTTTGTCCATGATGAATGTCCAGTTGTCTTCTGAATCATCAGATCAAGTCTGATGATTCAGAAGACCATCAGAATCGTCAGACCGTCTGATGATTCCGATGATATCACTTTCACATTCAGGGCCTGTCTGTCTCCATTGCTCCCCAAATGAAAAGGCCTCCCATTACTGTCCGTGCTCACTTGCACATGCACTCGTCTTCCACGTCAGATTACTGTCCATGCTCACTCACACCTCAGTTCTACGGGCATGTGTGGAATATGGTGTTAAGAGTCATCACTATCGATCACGACAGTTTACACCACATCTCTCAAGCGCAAAAAGATAAGTAAAATTACTATAGTACAATAAAATTACTATAAATTAAGTACTATAAAATTACTGTAAATTAAATACATATTTAAAAATTACTGTAAATTAAGTACTTGGAGTTTACCTGGAGTTTACCTGGAGAGAGTTCTGGGGGTCAATGCCCCCGTGGCCCGGTCTGTGACCAGGCCTCATGGTGGATCAGAGCCTGATCAACCAGGCTGTTACTGCTGGCTGCACGCAATCCAACGTATGAGCCACAGCCAGGCTGGTCAGGTACCGACTTTAGGTGCTTGTCCAGCGCCTGCTTGAAGACAGCCAGGGGTCTATTGGTAATCCCCCTTATGTATGCTGGGAGGCAGTTGAACAGTCTTGGGCCCCTGGCACTTAAATTACTATATAGCACACTGTACTGTAATACTACAGGTTACAACATCCATACTCTTAGTGTCTGGTAGTTTCCTGAATCAGCGGATAAAGTCCACTGACTCAGAACTTTGTCTGCTTATGTTACGATCATGAAAAAATAATTTCATTATTCAGAATTTATGATCAATCAGCAATAACATATGCCCCTTCCCTTATTATTCCATTAATTTGAGGGTTCCCTGTATTATTATGATCACAGTTAAACAATTTCTTCTCTATCCACCACAATCTCCTTTACTAGCCACCATTAGTCAATTAAATTAAGAATTTACTGTATTACTAGGACAAACAGTATTTATAAAGAAAATGCATGGCCTGAATCTAAACAAATATTTTTTTGCCTAAATAGAAATGTAATAATACTGTTTACAATACATAATCACAATAAAAATACAAGTTGTACAATGATAAATTCACAAAATATTTCTACACCAGTACCGAGGCAGTACTGTATATGTATATTAAATCACTCTCAAAACTGGAAAACAAATAATTTTTTTTTTCTGAGAAACTTTAAGTAAGCAATATGCTTAACAGTGACAGACCAACGATTAACTTGCCTTTAAAGTGGGATGTTCTATAGATGACACATCTGCCATACTGGGTCAGTGATTTGATGTGGCCCTGCATGGAATGAAAAAATGCATGAATTAAGAAAGTACTATTAGTCAAATCCCTTTCTTTATTAATCTGAAGCCAAGAAAAATATGAATTTTTGGTGAAAGAACATACAGTGTTATAAAAAATAATGATGGCTGATTACTAAGTACGTAGGACTTTGTGTAATAGAATATAAAATACAGTCCTCCACAAGTCATGTACTTTCCAATAATAGCATTTCTCCAAATTACATATCTACCCAGCCCCTCAACAAACCTTGTATCACCCAACAACAGTCCCTCTACAAACCTTATATCCCTCAGCAATTGTCCCTCTACAAGCCATGAATCCCCCAGCAACAGTCCCTCTATAAGCCCTGTGTCACCCACTAACAACCCCTCTGTAAGACTTGTATCCCCTAGCAACAGTCCCTCTACAAGCTCTGTATGTAAGGTACCTGTGGCCTGGTAGGCAACACTCGCCTCACATGCTGAATGTCCATGGTCTGATCCCCAGCAAGGATGGAAACACTGGGCATGTTGCCTTACACCTGCTGTCCCATTCACCTAGCAAGCCAATAGGTAGGTTAGGTTTCTGGTTGCTGCTGTTTTTAGTTTAATACGGATTACGATGTCATCGGATTACGTAAAATTCGGATTAAGTAACATTTTTGCGTCAAAATACTGGCTCAGTTAATGACAAAGAACTTGGTTAAAGTCATTCGTCCTAAACGTGTCTGCGCGCCATGAGCAGCCCAGACACTCCATGTACAGCCAGTGTGCCATTGTTTACAAGCCAATGAGGGTGATTCCACGCGTACTTGCAATACATTTTGTATTATTCCATTGTTTTTAGTGCTTGTAACTGCTAAATAAGACACAATGGGCTCAAAGAAAGCTAGTGCCAGCCCTGTGGTAAAGAGGGTGAGAAACACTACAGAATTCAAGAAAAAGTTTGTAGAAAGATATGAAAGTGGTAGTGGTAGAGGGTACTTCCAGGGTACTTCCCCACAAACCAGCCAGGGTACTTCCCCACAAACCAGCCAGGGTACTTCCCCACAACCAGCCAGGGTACTTCCCCACAAACTAGCCAGGGTACTTCCCCACACACCAGCCAGGGTACTTCCCCACAAACCAGCCAGGGTACTTCCCCACACACCAGACAGGGTACTTCCCCACACACACAATTTTATTTGATTGGGACTTGCGCATGAGTGAACAGAATTATCAAAGCTTATTGCTTGGAAAGCATTGAAAATTAGGTTGGGCAAATACAATTCTATTAGTGGAATGGTTTGTGAAGGACCTGCCTAGTATGAGCCTACAGGCCTGCTGCAGTGTTCCTGTTTTCTTATCTGCAAATATTTATGGATGAACATCACCCTGACACAGCTGCTGCAGGCTGTGCTGGCAACATCTACAATGACAATGTTCTGTCCCATTTTAGGGAAATCTTAGAGACGCCAAAAACAGGGCTCACTGGACAGATATTTTGTGCAACAGGGGTCCAGTGACTCTGAAGCTGGTCCTAGTGGCATTAACCCTTTCAGCGTCCGTGCCGTAGTTCTACGGCTGTGAGTTGAGGATCCAAACCATAGATCTACACCATGAGGTCAGCTCACTCTGATAAGCTGTGAGTGGTAAATTTGGGCCTAGATATGAGAGAATACATCTATGTGGTATGCGTGCACCACATAAAACAAATCCTGCAACACACAGTGCATAATGAGAGAAAAAAACTGAGACTGTAATTTTTTATTAAAACAGCGAATTTGCAGTGTTTTTTCATGGTTTTTATAGTTGTATTTGCGATTTCTTGGTCTCATTTGACAGAATGGAAGATATACGTATTACAGAAATAGAGATGATTTTGATTGGTTTTAGTACTGGAAATGGCTTGAAACTAAGCTCAAAGTAGCAGAAATGTTAAATTTTTGCCGATGTTCAAGAGTAAGCAAATGACCTCACACATCTAATACACACCAGCTGGTGGGTCTAATATACGTTCACAAATGTGGTGATATTATTTATACATTTATTACAATATTGCATAACAGTAAATCTTCTATTTTTTGGTTTGAATTTAAAAATTCACTATGCAAATAAAAAATCAAAATGGAATTCATTTGTAAAGCCTGAAAATGTAACTAATGAACAGAGGAAATGTTAGTTTAGTGCCTGGAATGCCTGCATTGTTTATTCTGGACCCTATTTTGAAATTGGAATATTTTGAATTTTGTGTTAAATTGGCCAAATAACCAATTTCTGATCACTTTATTTTGTAGTTGAAACAGTTGACTTGGCAATTTCTTGTGCTCAATCGATAGAATAGAAGCAATACTAGTGAAATAGCTAAGAATTTGGTTGGCTGGAATAATGTAATTGGCCTAAAATGGGAGTCAAAGTCAGCAAAATCACCGATGTGTAAATATCGTTGACACATCAAAATTCGAGGTAGATACTTGGAATGAGGTATTGGAAAAGACGTTGGAAACGTGTCACTTCATCAGAGACTGCAGACGACGAGCATTAAATATCTTCAACACACCCAGAGAAGACACTGCCGAGAAGAGATACATAGTCCTACCCACCAACTCCATTGCCAAACACGTTCCCAACATCTTTTCCAATACCTCATTCCAAGTATCTACCTCCACAACCACGACCATCAAGGACATTACCAGTAATAGACAGGACAAGCTTCCATCCTCTGCAGGGGTATACATAATCTCTTGTAATGACTGCAGCAAATTATACATGGGCGAAACATCATGGGACCTCCAAACACATATTTCAGAACACCAATACGCAAGCAGGTCTGACGATATAAGGAATGCCTGTGTACAACACCGTAATTCACACAACCACTTAATGAACTACAGAAACTCGAGACTTATCGCCACAAAAGACAGCACTCAATACCGAAGAATCCTGGAATCATCGCTTATTTCTATATCCGACAACTTCAACCAGAATAATGGCTTCTGTAACAGCTGAACCACTTGCCAAGAAACTTCATCGCTATCCCACATAAGAGCATAGGAATGGAAGAACACTGCAGAAGGTCTGCTCACAAACTTATCCAATCTCCCTTCCAAGCTACCCAAGATTTTAGACTCTATAACCCCACTCGATACATCATCAGATGCAGCATTCTCCACCTGACCTCAACATTCTGAACCTGACTATAAATACTCACGTACCTTCCACCCCAGGTAGATCTGTTTGTGACTTGAAAAAGCCCACTGTGTGGGCGAAACATTGTCAATAAAGGATCACATTATACTGCATTTGTGTTTATATTTGGATTAATTGGATTTCCATTATTTCTTATGGGGAAAATTAATTTGGATTACGACAGATTCGGTATAAGATATATGCTCTCTGGAACGGATTAATGTCGTAATCCAGGGGTCCACTCTATCTTTATTATGCACCCCATTCCCATCCTGTGGATGGTAGTCAAAAGATTACAGATGTACATAATGGGACCAGGGACTGGGCCCCAAAGTTTTGATAGCCTGGTGGCTAAAGCTCCCGCTTCACACACGGAAGGCCCGGGTTCGATTCCCGGCAGGTGGAAACATTTCAACACGTTTCCTTACACCTGTTGTCCTGTTCACCTAGCAGCAAATAGGTACCTGGGTTTTAGTCGACTGGTGTGGGTCGCATCCTGAGGGACCCCAATGGAAATAAGTTAGACAGTCCTCGATGATGCACTGACTTTCTTGGGTTATCCTGGGTGGCTAACCCTCCGGGGTTAAAAATCCGAACGAAATCTTATCTTATCTTATCTTACAAAGGTAATGAACTTTTACATGTCTATATCTGGCCACAATCATGACCAAGTTAGAAAGGTAATGAACCATCTACACATTTATACATGGTCACAATCATGAACAAATTACAAAGTAATGAGTCATTCATACATCCACACTACTGCTGTAAAGCAAAAATTGCTGTAAAGTGAAACATAGTTTTTTCACTTTTAAATGCATTTAAAAGCCTGGTAACATATTTATACTATCTTACATTAAGAGCTAGACATAAAAAATGCATATATAGTACACTTAGCTTATTGTAAGTGGAAACTATATTTATTTATTGTAGGAAGCGTGAATAACTGGAGAATGAGTATAATTAAAAACCACTGTACTAGTGAAGCACTGTAAAGCTGGGCCCTCCTGTACCTGGATGCAAGTCAAGTGGTGTGGGTCACATCCCGGGGGCCAAGATTTAATTAAGGGCCCCAATGGAAATAAGACACAGTCCTCAATGACTTTCTTGGGTTGTCCTGGGTAGCTAACTCTCCAGGGTTAAAAATCCAAACAAAATCTTATCTTATCTTTTATCTTACCCCCCAGCAACAGCCCATCTACAAGCCTTGTATCCCCCAGCAACAGTCCCTCTTTAAGCCTTATATTCCCCAGCAAGTTCCTCTACAAGTCTTGTATTCCAAGCAAGTCCCTCTACAAGCCTTGTATCCCCCAGCAACAGCCCTCTATGTGGCTTGTATCAAACCAGCAACAGCCCCTCTATAAGCCTTGTATTCCCAGCAAGTCTCTCTACAAGCCTTGCATTCCCAGCAACAGTCCTTCTACAAGCCTTTTATTCCCAGCAAAAGAACTTCTACAAGCCTTGTATCCTCCATCAACAGTACCTCTACAAGCCATGTATTCCCAGCAATAGTCCTTCTACAAGCATTGTATCCCAGAAACAGCTGACTAATACCTTTAAGTCTCCGAGCAACAGCCCCTCTCAACTTGTACTCCCACAGAACAGCCTGGGCTACAGGCCTGATCCATCCATTAACAGACCTCTACAAGCCAGTATTCCCATAACTCAGGTAACTCTACAAGCCTTGCATTCCAACAACTCCCTCTACAAGCCTGGTATCCCAACAGTACCTCTACAAGCCTTGTATTCCCAATAGTTCCTCTAAAGCCTTGTATTCCATCAACAGTCCTCTAAAAAGCCTTGTTCCCAGCAAGCCGTCTACAAGACCTTGTAATACTCCTGCAACAG